TCAAATCAGTATAAAAAGCTTTTTATACCTTCTCTTGCTCTAAAAACCCAAATCCCTATCATTAAAATATTGCCCCAATGTTGAGAGCCTAACAGCAGAATGGCTAAGTAGCAAAGGCCATGATACTGTGCAAGTAGTTGAGCTCTAGGCCTCAGGGCACAGCGACCTTGCAGTTAACGATTACTCAAGAAACAAAGAAACAGGATACATATCCTGCTGAAATAGCGCATTGTTAACGGCTACTTGCTGATGTGGCAACAGCTGCTAACGACCAGCGAAGTTGAAAGCAGAGGTGGTGGTGGCCACCTAGAAACCCTTACGTCAAATACGTTTGAGCCAATAAGCTTGCGTGTCATGTAGCTTCGCATAGATATGTACTTGATTGTATGATCTATAAATATCGATGTATTGCAATCAATAAACGAGACTTGCTGACCATGAGAGCATGAGGCTTGTCTCCCGCGACTCCAACAACGGATCCCGACAACTGGCGCCCGAACAGGGACCCTCCCGGAGTCGCGTTGGGTGCGGGTCTCGACTGACGGCTTCTGCAGAACGGGAGTGCTGCATCGGCAGACTGCTCGTCTCCTGCTCTGGCCCAGAGGGCTGCATCGGCTGCCTCTGCCGCTACGCGCTGCTGACGCCTGGAGGTTGCAACGGTACCGGTATTTATGGATAGGCAAGCGGCGTATGACCTTTTCACTGCCTTCCTCCGTCGCCGGGGGCTTAAAGGCTTAGATTTTGATAAAGACCTTCCCGCCCTTCTTTCTCATGCCCATTCCCTTGGCATCTTTGCCGACCCTCACTCTATTCATCAGCTTTCTGAATGGCGCCAATACGGCGATAAGCTTTGGGAACTTACTTTAGAAGATGATAGAACGGCTAAAAAATTTTCTAAACTATGGCGCTTAATACACAATGAGCTCTTGATGGTGCAGGCAGAAAAACGTGCTGCCGAAAACGCTCGACTAGCACAGGACCACAATCGGCACTATGACCCCTCTGCACCTAACCCGCCTGTCGTTTCTATGGTGGAGATCCCCCCTCCCTCTCCGGGTCCTACCGCCCAACTGAGTCTGCCCAGAGATCCTCAACCTCGAACCCCCCTCCCTCGTCCTCGGATGCCACGGAGCCGTTCCCCGGGGCCTCTTCAGATCTCGCGGAGGCTATGGCTAGAGAGAGGAGGGAGGCTTGGGCTGCTCTGGCGCGCCACGGGGTTGAAAATGGGGACATGACGTTGGCGGAGGTGGCACGGGAACAAATCCCGTTGCCCATGGCTTTCCCGGTAATTTTCCACCCACAGCGTGGCGGCGGGCAGCGGGCAGAGATTATACAGATTGATTGGAAATTATTGGCACAACTCCGTGCTACAGTCGCTCAATTCGGGGTGACTAGTGAGCCGGTCAAACAAATGCTTGATTATTTATTCAACTCTATGGTCCTTCTGCCTGCAGATATCAGAGGCATTGCTCGTTTGATTTACACCCCCCACCAAAAACTTACCTTTGATACGCGTTGGGGGGAGGAGGCAGCCGCCTCGGTAGCCTTTCCCAGAATACAGGGAGACCCCCTACAGGGCATCACGGTAGATGAGCTATTAGGTACGGGTGCCCAAGCTAGAGCAGAACAACAGGCATTAATGGGAGGAGAAAAACTACGAGAAGTCATGCGGGTGGCGAGAAGGGCAATGGAAAAAGTCCGGGAGCCTGGGGGACCCCCTATGTATATGAATATTAAACAAGGACGAGAGGAACCCCTTGGGTCATTTGTTGACAAACTAATGCAGGCTCTCTCCAAAGCGGGCGTTGCAGAGCATATGCAAGATGCCCTCCTGAAACAGTGCATTATACAGAATGGTAATCAGGTCACCCGCTCACTTATTGCTACCGCTCCTGGCAATTGGGTAATTCAAGACCTTTTAGATAAAGCAAACACTCTCCCCTCAGGCAGTCAAATTTTTGTGGTAGAAGCTCTTAACAAAATTGGCGAAGGTCTTAACGCCCAATCTAAAGTACAAAGCCAGGTTTTGGCAGCCCTTGCACCCCTCCAGGCGGCAGTCGCGCAGACTCGTCCTGCAGCCCCAGCCATCCGAATGAAATGCTTTCAATGTGGAAAAATGGGCCACGTTCGTCGCGAATGTCAGGCTCCTGGTGTTTGGTGCGGACCGTGCCAATCATCTACTCATAATACCAATGCATGCCGCAGACGACAGAACCAGGGAAACTCCCCGGCCAGCGCGAGGATGAGCCGCGCCAAGACACAAATAGCCGCCCAACCTGCAACACCCTCGTCCCTGCAACAGGTGGCAGCCTCGGATATGACCTGGTCCCAAGTGGATTCCAGCTAGGTGGACCCGTGCAGCCCATTTGAATGAACACTCCGGAAAAGAGGCGACAACACCGCCTACAGACCGTGCTGCGACCACTGCTGGAACCAGTTGAGAGACGCTTTGGAGTCTGCTTGTCATATACTACAGAGGAAGAAGCGGAAACGCGTCTAACATGGGAACTTCATTATCTATGTGAAAGATTTGCTTTGCCGCGGTATTGTTTTGTTTGCTTGCAAGAAACGCATGCTGCTTGGCTTAAGATTATTTGTGGGAAGTGTTGTCAAAAAGTGTGGATATCTCAATACCAATTGAGGGTATTTAATAGTTGTTTTAATTGCAATTGGACCCTACAACATAATAATAATCCTATTACAGCATTTACTGCAGAAACAGGGATCCACTTTCCATTGGCCTATCCCATAACTGAGAATAGCGAAGAAATAGATTTGTGGTATTTGAAGTGGCGGGTGCGACAGCTACTCGACCGCCTCCGAGTTACCTTAGACACCACAATCTTAGAAGCAAAGTGTGGTCAGGATGTGGGTATTCCAACCATGTGGCAAATTAAGCCTGATGATTTGGATCATACTTGCCGTCGTTTCCAATCCCGTTGTAGAAACATGGGAAACCCTAAGCAGAGTAGAGGAACGAAAAAACATGTGGGTCACTTGGGCTGAAAAAGTTAACCAGAGCAGTTTATGTCTCTCTCTTGCCAAAGCATCTGACCCCTTTAGAACCTGTCTAGTAGGAGTACCAGCTAATATTACCTTTAAACTTACCCGTGCTAAAAATGTTTCTGAAATTCAAGAATTTCACTTATTAGGTTCTGCACCTGCATAGGAATGCTTTAAATTTGACCCTTATCGCTTTCAAGATCATCCAATTAATGTCTCTTCAAATAGGCCTTATAATGAAACTGCTTATTGCCAAAAAATTACTGTAAAAACTGTTGTAACTTCATATACCGGCTATTTACCTGATGGATATTTCTTTATCTGTGGCGACAGAGCATGGCAAGGAATTCCTAGAAGTCCAGTAGGAGGACCCTGTTATATAGGCCGTCTAACAATGTTTGCACCTGATATATTGTCAGTCCTTAACGCCAATCATACCCGTATGCGTCGTAAGAGAGCAACTACACAATTGACCTCAGAATGTCGTGATATTGTTACACTTTGGGACCCCCCTGAGGTTATCTTAGCTAGCATTTTTGCTCCTGGCGTAGCATCTGCTCAAGCTCTCACACAATTAAGAAAACTGGCTTGCTGGACACGAAAACAAATAAACATCACGACAAATATTTTGTCAGATTTAGCCATGGACCTAGAAGGAGTCCGTCACGCAGTTCTTCAAAATCGAGCTGCCATAGATTTTTTACTCCTCGCACAAGGTCATGGGTGTGATGAGTTTGAAGGCATGTGCTGCATGAATCTTTCGGATCACTCTAACTCCATTCACAAGCAATTATCACAATTGAAAAATAATATGCAAAAATTACGGGAAACAAATGATCCCTTTACAAATTGGTTAGCATCTTTTGGGTTATCCCCCTGGCTTATTACTCTAATAGAGAAAATTGTTTTGATTGTAGTCATAATATTTTTAGCAATTTTGCTTTTACCATGTATTATGCAATGCTTGCAAAAAATGATAACAAATGCTTTTGATCACAAAGTCGCTATGTTAGCAACTAAAGAAAGCGGGGGAAGTGTTGAGAGCCTAACAGCAGAATGGCTAAGTAGCAAAGGCCATGATACTGTGCAAGTAGTTGAGCTCTAGGCCTCAGGGCACAGCGACCTTGCAGTTAATGATTACTCAAGAAACAAAGAAACAGGATACATATCCTGCTGAAATAGCGCATTGTTAAGGGCTACTTGCTAACGACCAGCAAAGTTGAAAGCAGAGGTGGTGGTGGCCACCTAGAAACCCTTACGTCAAATACGTTTGAGCCAATAAGCTTGCGTGTCGTGTAGCTTCGCATAGATATGTACTTGATTGTATGATCTATAAATATCGATGTATTGCAATCAATAAACGAGACTTGCTGACCATGAGAGCATGAGGCTTGTCTCCCGCGACTCCAACAACGGATCCCGACACCCCAACACTATTATACAATTATTTTGTTTTATGTATATGCATCTACGTCACAAGCATGTGCAGCCTTGGAAACAATACCTTCAGAACTCACTACATGTCTTGCAGAACCTTCATAACCAGAGGTTCTGTAAGTACAATAAATACAAAAGAGAACTTCTTTCTTATTGCTTTATTTATCAAATTTTTGTCTGACATAACAGTATCACCCTGGCAGGTTAATTTTCACCTATCATATTTTATAATGATCTGTTAATGTGATTTGGCAAGTTTTTCCTGCCTTGTGTCTGATGCAATGTACCTGCTGAGCACCTTCTTTCAATAGTTTGTGCTTTTCAAAATCTACTTACAATTTCCTCCATTTTCAACTCATGTATGCTTTCAAGAAAAAAAAATAATCCTGATAATCATATTTCCAAATACGTTTTTAAGCCAATATTTATTTATGTGAATAAACCATATGATGATGACATAATTCCAGTAATTATTAACACAGGGATTATGTGCAGGGAAGAAATCTGGACTGCAGCATTGTTAGGGAAAGTACCAAGTAAGGCACGTACAGGTAACTTACCGATCAAACAGCTCTCCACCTGTGACCAGTTCCAGAACAAGACTGATTTCTGTTGGGGTCTCAAAGATCTCCTTCAGTTTTATCTGATAAAAGGTAACAAAAAGAATTTATTTTGCTTATTTGTTTTCTCTCTGTGCATATCACAGCGCCAACAGCAGGAAGAAGACCACAGTCAATAAAGCAGAAGATGCTACCAATTGATGCTGGTGTGTCATTTACCTTGCAGTTGAGTGAGTTACTGTGCATGTTCTCTCCCACTGCCCTTTTATTTTTTGCTACCTTTATCTCCTTCGCATTCCCCTCCTATTTTTTTGTTGTTATTTTCATACTTCTCATACCTCGGCAACCTCTGTGTAACCCAAGAATTTAAGATGATAAGTTTGTTAGTGCTTGTCAACACCTGTATGCCAGTCTTTCAGAATAACTGAAGGTAAGACCTTCCCCACCCTCCAAGGACTGACAACACCAAATTTGCCTTTAATCTAGAGAACTTCTTTTGCATAATATCTCAGTTAATGCTGTTAAAACTTCAACATTTTATTTTAAAGTGTAAGTATAATTCAACAGTCTTCTAAATCAAGCTGCTACAGTGCTCAGGAGAACCCAAAACTTAATCCAGGACTGTAAGGCTGTATTCAAGTCTGTATAGGCTAGCCAGTAACATCTGGAGAACAGAAATAACTTTAAAAACTAAAAAAAACCCCAACAACAACAAAACCCCCCAAAACCTAAAACAACCCAAATGTGCAGTGAGAGAACAAGGCTAAACTTACAATGTTAGGATGTGACAGGCGAAGAAGAACTCCTATTTCCGTGCGGACAATTTTCTTGTCTACCTGGTTAAAAGTGGGGAGGAAAAAGTGAAAAATTTATTTCTATTTACCATAGAGGCTTCTAGCTGGAAATTTCTAACTTCACAGGGAAATATGTAAGAACAGCATATTTCTAGTTCTCATAAGAGAGTAAGTTGATGCGAGACACACAAATCAAATATACTGTAGGGAGTAATCTTCCTTTAACATGAGACAAAAAACCAGCTGCATCTAGTAAATGACTGCAAACAAATGTAAGTCACATGAGAAGCAGAATATACAAGAGACATCTGAAAAGATGCTAACATTCAATTTTTACTCAAGTTCTGTTTTCTTCACTATTTATGTCAGTTCAGTTTACACCAGGATCGCTTCCTTTCTATACAGTCTTCAGCAGCTGTGCTGGAAAGAGTTTTCTCTCCTTAGAATACACACAACAAAGCAGTGTAACATGCTGCTTAAAACAAGACTGATGCAAAGGTCAAATGCCCCCAGCCATAAACTCTAAGGTTTAACTTCAACTTGGTACAGATATATCTAACAGAACGCTCTATTAATGCAAAAGAAAATCTGTGGGTTAAATCTCTGAGAGGATTAGCTGTTCTCTTTCTTTTCTTTCTCAAATTGAAGTCTTTAAAAATCCAGGCACAACCTGTGGGTTGTTCGGGGGCACTGGTGACTTCTCACAACGAAATGCAGACATACGAAGAGTTTCACTTGAGAAAGACAATTGTGGCTCTCCCAGAGACTGAATGCTTAAGCAAGCAAGAAAGGAAAATGCTTGTAAGCAAGCCGTGGATGCTTTTATGTTGCTAAGGTAATTAATACATTTCTGAAGAAAGTATCTTGTTTGCAAATATTCTCACAAACCCTAGAGAAATACTACACTGATGACAATTATAAACTTATTTCTCCTATAGCATTTTTCACCTCAAGAGTTACAAAATAAATGAGAGTCAGCAAGTTAAGTCACTACCTGTTTCTAAACTGATGGCACAGATGGTATCCAGCAAAACATTTTTAAGGGGATGTTGTGGGGGGGCTTTTTAGTACAGACTTTTCATCACTCTTTTTTGGTTTGCTTGGGGTTCTTTACATCATATAGGAAATGAACAGCCATAATACATAAACCTTTAAAAAGGATCTAAAACTACCTTTCAATTCTTAGTGAGGAAGACACATGCTTAAAAACCTTTTTTTTTTTTTTTTTTTTTATCTATCATCTGAAAGAAGAGATGCAATTCTCAGTATTTCATTTTTTTTTCCAGAAACAACACACTCTAAGTATCAGTCACATTCAGAACTGCAGGATAGGTAGAATTTGATTCTCCCTTTGTGTCAATCAGAAATTATTCCAGATTAGCAATGCAACAGTGCACTGACAGTGGTGTAAACAAAAGGAAACTCATTGACATTTAACTTCTTTCAGTGGCTCTGCCAGAAAGCAAAATGAAAGAAAGAAAAAATAACTTCAGACAGATTTAGTGTCTGTAAAGCAGAAAGCAAAAATCAAAAAGGAATTAAATACTCAGTTACCTGGACACTTAATTGGAGGTAAAGAACATGGTCAGTAACTAAACCTGCACATGCAAATGCCTGCTCCGGGTTCAAACAAGGGATCTTTTCAGGTCTGTGACCCTCACGGGTTGTATAAGCTTTACTGCTTCCTACTCCTAATGCAAGTATTTCTTTGCTTTTGCTATATAGATACTGAGCAGCGGGTTTAAAGAATGGTCTGCTGTGCAGTTTGCACCAGCCTGTAGTCTTACTCATTTTCAACATCCCCTTGGCATTAATTCAAGTGCTATAATTCAACTCCTGGTTACTTTAGTGCACAACTGCACAGACAGGGGCCCCAAAGATCTCTGCTTTGTAGCAAGAGGCTCTTGGTGATTCAGAGAATAATACAAATCTGGACAGTTTTCATATGCTTTGCACCTAAGACATGATCAGAAAAATCGATGTGTAATATTGCATGGACAGTCATTTCCCCAAGATACTTGTTTAGACTGTGTAATTTACCTTATCCAAAAGGACCACTACAAACTGAACAACCTACTACTTGTTTGCTGCAGTTTTGAAAATGTTTGTATTTTGAGCATTTCTGGCAACAAGTATGGAACCAGCTGCCCAAACTAAAGATTATTCCTTTTGGCACTGAGTAGTTACATCTGAGAAACTATAGAGGCCTCCTCTCATCTTGCACATTACTTTTCTGTGTGCTCACACTAATTCTGTACTGGGTTGTGAGAATAACCGATTGGTTGATTTTAACATTGGTTCATTTTTACTGAGCTGTATTTTCTGTTTGCAAACTTGAAATTGCAAGCAATCAAGAGGCTTTTGTTGTGATACGCCTATGAAGCAGCACACTGCTGTGGTACATCAATGCCAATTTGAGAAGTCATTTGCCAGGTAATTCTGAAATGGTTATTTATCAGTTCTTCACCACTGACCCTAAGTGTTAAGATGTAATTGCTCATAGACAAAAAAAAAAATATCAAATTTGTTAGATAGTCTATAATTACTAAAACCCACATCCATATGCATCCACAGTTTACCTGTGGAGACATCCACGGGAAGCGCTAAGCCGCAGAAATCTGCAGGAACTGCTTGTAAGACGCAGTACAGTCTTGCCTTGTGCTGTGGCTTGAAGTACTCCACAGTTCACTTTAATAATCAAACCAAGAGCTGTGACCGTAGCCCAGGTAATCACCTGCATGCTGGCTTTAATCTATCTGGATGAAGTAACAGCAGCAAAGATCTAGTGACCCGACCTTGGGAGCAAAAGGCAGTCCACAAACTCATTGAGCTGAGATGTCTATCTAAACTGCAGCTGGATACATTAGACAAATAGTACCATGCTGTGTGCATTTAAAACTGCAATAATATATCTTGTTTACAGACAGACAGATGTAATATTAACAGAGTATACCATGTGACTAAGGCCTAGGAAGTTAGGAAAGCATTTGCAAGTGTGAGCAAATGATATTATCCATCCCTTTAATCTATATTAAAACATTTCCATTAAAAAAATAAGTAATTATTCCTGCATTATTCCTAGCATTTTGTTTCTCAAATTATTTCAGTTCTCTAGTATTAGGCATTTATCTATTTTATAGATATGTGTCTGAAAAAACTGTGTCTTTAAAATTTGATACTGGTCATGCAGTGAAGTAGCACTAGTCAGCCTGATTTATTTATTATATTTAATTTATTATGAATTTAATTTAATTTATTATCATATTTAATTTATTGCTAATTTGGAAATCAGAAACTTATTTCTGATTTATAAATTTCAGGCTATTTTCACAGGGAAAGGGCTTGAAAAATCCTCAATGAAAGCTGAGATTCTTCCATATTTCCATGCTGTGAGATGGTGAAGTGGTGTGATGCTCCAAACCCCTGAGATGTGAATGTAAATTAAGTGAAACAAGAAAATATTAACTGGCACTAGAAACAGATTAATCCAGCTGCTACCTTGCAATATGGCACACCATCCTGAAAACAGGTGCCCAGCCAGTGTACCACTCAGACTTAGTGGAGAGCAAGAAGACCCCATTCCTCACCCTGCAAGTACAGACTCCCCACTTGAAGGATTAATTCCTCCTTCAGAGCACCATGGACATGGGGGGGCACATCTGGCCAGGTGTGCCCACCACACAGACTGAGAGACAATGCTGTGCCCAGGCAAGTGGTGTAAGCAGCCAATGCAAACTGCTCCAGAGGAGCTTCACAGCACTGCCACATCAGGGAGGCTGTTCACTCCAGCTCTGCACAGCTCCTTATTTAATATCCCCTTACTGACACACATGAACAGCTCTAATTTGGAGGTGAAAGAGGATGGGGGTGATATAAGGAAAGCAAGTGACTGGAAAACATAGGGTTAAATTACTTTTAACTTAGGTCTAAGATAGGGAACAATGTTTGCGTTGTATGTGTTGTGATAACAGAATCTAGTAGACTTACTAACATGGGTGACTATCCTTCTAATGAGTGAATTATTTCTTACCATCCTTCTAATTATCAGTTAGTTTGGAAACAGTGACTCCCCAAAATCTGCTAGCTTAGGATACTCCTTGTCTGCCCATCCTGTTTTGCTTGCAATAAATTTTCATGAAGGTCACACTGTTCTAAATCTTTGCCAGCTATCAGAAACTTACAGATATGGCTGGTTTCAGCTAGTTTTGTGATTACTGGGGCATCCAACTGCCAAAGGTGAAAAGTGCACCATGATGAAGACTGCTTACTTCATCTTGAAGACTCGGAGGGCATTGCGCAAGCGACAAAAAGGAAGAGACTTATGATAATGAGTACCTAAACTATCTGTAATATCCCCACTAATCTCTTGGGAACCTAATGAATATGCATGTTTGTACGTAATAAATATCTGTTTGTTTAACCCCTCAGTGTGCAGATCAGGAAGAGTGATCCCCTTTGCACCCAGTGCCGTAATAAACATACCTGCTTTATAACTCTCTTTGGGTTGTAGAGTCTGATTTTGTGCTTCAGGAGGACGTGGTCAGAGTGATGGTGTTTGTCTTCCCAAATAACTGCTAGACGTGATGAAGCCCTGTTCTGGAGACGGCTGAACACCTGCCTGACTGTGGGAAGTGGTGTATGAATTCTTTGGTTTGATTCGCTTCTATGTGCTGCTTATGCTTTACCTATTGATCTGCCTTTATTACTTTTATTTTTCTAATTCTCTCTTCCATTCCACTGAGGGCAGTGAACAAGTGGCTGTGTGGAGATGAGCTGCTTGCTGGCTGGGGTTAAACCACAACAGCAGGTTACTGAGATTTTTTATTTTGAGCCTCTGTAAGTAAACTTGTATTATTAATGTAAAGAAAATAGACTACTACTAAAGCTATTATTGTCTGTGCACATGTCCACATTTTCAATTTGTGTCTATAATCCATCAATTGATGCATATTCTTCAGACTGAACACACTTGCATTGAACTACTGCCAAATTACAACAATGTGCTTGCATTCATTCTGTTAGGTGCCTAAATATTTTGTTTG